ACTCTGGCGTTTGATTTTTTCCGAAGCAGCGGTGCCATCAGAATCTTCTGCCTTGCTCTAATTCATTTCCTTCATTTGTGGTCATCATCAACATCACCGTTGATTAGCTCTGTCCAGTGCTCAACATCTTCAATAAATTTTGAACTTTCTGGAGGTGTTTTGAAGTCGGAATTTGCTGCCGCTGCTACTTCTGTCAAACATAATCCTTCCGACGAGCCAATTCCTGAGCCACGCTCCACTCCCAACACCGACTACATTCTCTTTCCTTTCTTTTCCTTAATTATTTTTTTTTTAATTTCAGGCTATATGCTTTTAATCTTTGTGCTTAATTTTGTTATCCAATTGCAAGTGTTCTGAGTTTTTTTTTTCTTTTCTCTCGTGTTATAGAACCCAAAGGAAAAAAAAATTCAGGTGCTAAGAGTTTCTGATCAACAATTCTCCACCGATCTTGCCCCCCCAGCCGACTCTGTTTGGCCAACTTGCTGCTACCTGTGTTCATTTTGCTTTCAAAATCAGTAGCAGTGCATCGGTCTGCCCTCCAATTTGAGTGTTTGGGGACTGTGCAAAATTTTTCCTCAACAGCAGCCATTAACAGCTCAATCCAGAGAGCTAAATATTAATTTTGGTGGAATAAGTATCTGTGTTTTACTTATTTGGATTCGGATTGTTTAAGCTTTTCCTGCAGTTTAATTATATCTGTGCTCAGTTTGTATATGAAGTTGCTGCGCCATAAAATTGGATTCTTTTAACTGCTTGGAACTGAAAATTCTGTTAGTTGCTCTACTATGGAACAAAAATTATTTTGTGAAATCCGTAGTGTTATTGTTTGAGTCTCTTCGAGTTTTTCTGCAACTTCTCATTCTCTGTAAAAAAAAAATAATAATAATAAAAACTCTTCCTTCCTGTTTTCATTATTTTATCATACTAATTGCTGGCGGAATTTTATCATTTTAGATTGCTAGTTTTGTGCATTTTCTTGAATATTTCTGGTTTATGAGTAGTCGTCGTACTGGAAATAGTGATCTTAATTACATTCCTGAGATTGAAAAAACTGTTCGTCTGTTAAGAAAAGAAGCTAAGAAAAACAAAGCTAATTTGCATTCTAGGGTGAATTTAGATTCTCAGTCATCAAATTCTGATTTTGATTCTCAGGAAGAAGAAAACATGGGTGAAAAAAAATAGATCTTTGAAGGAATTCCATGTTGTCTGTTCAACAATGAAACCACAGCGTGTTACTGAGCAGCAGATTAAACTAAGAGCGTTTCCTTTTTCTTTAGGTGATAAAGCAAAAGACTGGCTGTATGATCTTCCCTCAGGTTCAATCAACACATGGAACGAGATAAAGAAATTATTTTTGGAGAAGTTTTTCCCTGATTCACGAGCTGCAAATATAAGGAAGGATATATGCGGCATTCAACAGATGACAGGGGAGTCCCTTTATGAATATTGGGAAAGGTTTAAGAAGTTATGTGCTAGTTGCCCCCACCATCAAATTCCAGACCAGCTCTTGATCCAATACTTCTATGAAGGTCTTCTACCCATGGATAGGAGTATGATAGATGCAGCTAGTGGAGGAGTTCTTGTTGATAAAACACCAGCAGCTGCAAAGCAACTAATTTCAAACATGACTGAAAATTCTCAACAATTTGGATTGAGAATAGACAGGGGTGTTAAACTGACTAATGAGGTAAATCATCCTGCTCTAGTCAATCAAATTTCTAATTTAACTTCTTTGGTTCGTCAAATGGCTGTAGGACAGTTACAGACAGCTAAGGTTTGCGGAATCTGCACCAATCCTGGGCACCCAACAGACATGTGTCCTTCTCTTCAAGAAGACCCAACCCAACAAGTTAATGCCATAGGAGGATTTCCAAATTAACCACAACGAAAATAAGTTCCCTACTCAAACACCTATAATCCTGGATGGAAGGATCATCCAAACTTCAGTTGTGGCAATCATCGTGGTCAACAGAGATTTCCCCAAACCTACAACAGGGCTCCGCCACCTCACTCACAGTCGTCTAACTCAGGTATGTCTCTTGATGATATTGTTAAAGCTTTAGCAACTAATACTCAACAGTTTCAGCAGGAGACAAGAACAAGCATTCAGAATATGGGAAATCAAATCAGCCAACTAGCCATATCTCTGAGTAGGCTGGAGGCTCAAACATCTGGGAAATTACCTTCTCAAACAGTAGTTAACCCAAAAGAGAATGTGAGTGCAGTTACCTTAAGGAGTGGAAAGGAACTACCATCAGCAACATCTTCTCCCAAAAAGGTGGTTGAACAAAAAGACTAGGAGGAAGAAGTAGTTGAACATTCACCATAGGTAACGCCTAAGGAAATTTCTTCTACTATTCCTAATGCAATAGTTGCACCTTTTCCTTGCAGGTTTGAAAACTCCCAGAAGGATGAATATGAAAAGGAGGTTCTTGAGACCTTTCGGAAAGTGGAGATCAACATTCCCTTGTTAGATGCTATCAAACAAATTTCCAAATATGCAATGTTTCTGAAAGGTTTGTGTACTCATAAAAAGGAAACGAAGTGATGAGAAAATTTTGTTAGAGAAAAATGTTTCTGCCGTAATAAAAAGAACTCTACTAAAAAAATGTTTGGATCTAGGTATGTTTACGATGCCTTGTACTATAGGAAATAAGAAATTTGAATATGCTATGCAAGATCTTGGAGCATCCATTAATGTTATGCCATATTCAATTTTCTGTACTTTACATATGGGTCAATTGAAAGAAACTAGAGTTGTGATTCAATTAGCTAACCATTTATTGGTTTATCTCGAAGGAATTGTTGAAGATGTTATAGTACAAATTGGTGAACTAATTTTTCCTGCAGATTTTTACATTTTAATAATGAAGGAAGATAATATCACTAATTCAGCTCCATTAATTTTGGGAAGGTCTTTCTTAAAAATTGAAAGAACAAAAATAGATGTAGATAAGGGTACTCTTTCTGTCGAATTTGATGATGCAATGAAATACCCTGAAGAGTGTCACTCTATTTTTTCTATTGACATGGTTGATTCAGTTGTGCAGGATTGTTTTGAGGAGGAAGAAATTGCAAATGAGATTTTGGAGAATTCACAACTTAATGAGAATGATGCTTTTTCTGAAAATTATGGATTTGTTGAAAATTATTTTATTTCAGAATTAACTTCATCTCGCAAAAAGTTGTTGCCCTCTATTTTGCAGGCTCCCAAATTGGAACTAAAAGAATTGCCAGATCACTTAAAATATGTATTCTTGGGTGATGAAGATACACTACCAGTAATCATTGCTAGAGGATTGACCGAAGAACAAGAAAGAAGGCTAGTAGACATGCTTAAGGAGCACAAAACAGCAATAGGGTGGACTTTAGCAGACATGCTTAAGTATTATCTTCCTACTGCTACCAAATTGTTTATGTTGCGCTATCGTCTTAAACATTTGATACTAAGTAGCACATTAGCAGATTATGCATGTTGGTAGTGACACGTTGAATGTGCATAATAAGTCTAACTAAGAGATCAATAGGACAAAAATATTTTAATTGCAGCTATCTCAATTATTTTAGTTTTCGGTTCAACTAAATTTTCAAAGTTTTTATTGCTAGTATAATTTAACATAGAACGCTATCATGCCCAGTTAAATTATATTAAGTTTTGATTAGGTGCTGGGTTTGGTCAAATATTTTTAGAAAATATAAGCCTTTTTACAGCTATCCTATTAAGCATACGGTTGAATGCTTGAGTTGTAGAAAAATGTATTTTTAGTCGATGATCTATAATATATTTGAATCATTCCTTGAACCATAGTTTTTCTATTATTAATTTTCTCTCCATTTTTATTTACTTCAAATTGTCATTTTATTTTAAAGAAGAAAAATCCACCCTGTTTGCATTTTTTTACAGCCAAGTGTTAAAAGTCGGCTCTCTTGGGATTCGACCTGATTCCACTGTTTCTGCAAATTAATTTTGGTCTGTTAGGAAATCAGATTAATTTTACGGATCTCGACAAACCCGCCAAGATATCATGGAGAGTTGAACATTGCTTGCATTCCAACAAGACAGAAAAGGAGAAGTCTTTGCTGGATCTAGTTTTCTCAAATATATAGATGAATAAGTAAATTTTATGTAATTGTGTAGTTTTGGTTTTAAGCTTCCAAGTTATTTTATTTTATTTTATTTTTTTTAATAAGAGTGAAATTTCATTAATTTGCTGAGAAAGCGCCCAACACGCAATGAGGTACAAACTCGGGAATTTTATCCCAAAATTTTTCAAAGTCTCTTTTAGACTTTGTAAATTGTGCTAAACAATGGAAAACCACATTAAATTTACGGCTAATCCACTTGCAGTCAAATTGGACATGATCCTAAAAATGAGCTTTAATGTCCGCCAGTATTAAACCCCAGTCAGACAGGTTAGTTTCATCGGATTGTAATCGATAAGAAGGGAAAAACGTCAACGCTTACAATGCCACAAAAAAAAAAATTGTTTTGTTTTTGTTTCTTACAAAAAATAAATGGTCCAATGAGAATCAAATCTTGGACCTCCTAATAATAACCATCCACATCCTCATTCTCTAACCACCCCACCTAAAATTAGATATTTTGTTATTGTTTCATTGATTCTCATAAATCAACAAATGTTTCAAATATTCTAACTTTTAAATAAGAACCACAAAAAATATACTTTCTCCCAAAAGGTTTGTTCCATATGGATTTTTTACTTAAAACGAATATGAAACTGGATAATAATTTTGATAAAGGTAGGAGTACAATGACTAGATTGTCATTAGCATTGACTAGAATTATACGGACTCTCACTAAAACAAAACTAAAATAGCCATATAAGCTCTACTAAGTTAAAAGTGTGTACTTCTGACATCAAACAAAGTATATTTTATTCAAGGAGAAACTAAAAACAAGAAGAATGAAAGATTGAACATGATGAGCTTAGAATAGTGGCATAGTGCCTTTATTAGCAGTCACTTGGATCTCAAATTAGTTAATTAGTCACAACAAAAGGGATGCGAACATTGTGTTTTTCATTGCTCCATGAGATTGAACCATATGCAAAACCATTGAGTTGAGCTGCATAAGTTGTCACTTCATAGCTTAACTTTTTCTGGTATTTGGTGAATTTCAACTCAGTTGGGCTCACTTTGATCTCCACGTTCTGGGACATTTCAACAGTTACTCTGTAAGTCGATTCTTCGTCTCCAACATTTGTAACTGTCCTTGTAACTGTTGTGAACTTACGGTTTGCCGATTGAACAATGACGATTGATGGGTAGTTTATGTTGGAGATCATTTCCTCGTTGGAGTTTTTGGGGCAGGAAAAGTTTGCAGGAAACATTGATGACAGGAGTTTTATTGTTGAAGTGTTGTAGCCCTTGTAGCACAAGAAGCGCAAATATTCCACTCCCTTTGTTTTGTAAACTAGTCCTGGCTGTGATGGACTGAACAATGTTACTTCTCCAGCACCCATCTCGTATGGGGTGACTGGATCACCAACATTGTTGGTGATTGGTTTCTTCAAATTGTTAGCCGGATTCGCTACATATCAATATGCAGAGTTATAAGCACTAGTCTAAACTAATTAAAATATGCGTTCAAAGACTGTAGAAAACTGGTGTAAGGCGATTGTTAATTTTTTCAATGTGATCAATAACCAACCTGTGGTCATGAGTGCGGACTTAATTTCAGTCGGGCCCCAAGAGGGGTATTTCGATTTGATTAGAGCTGCGATTCCTGTAACATGAGGGCAAGACATTGATGTACCCGAGAGTATATTAAAGGCTTCGTTTGTAACATTGGAAGGCCAAGCAGAGAGAATGTCAACCCCAGGTGCTACAACATCTGGCTGGAAGCATGCATTATTTTATTAATAAGGACGCAAACAATCCGTTTAGCATCAATCTCTTGAGCCTGCAGAGTACCGTTAATCATGCAAAAACATAAATGAGGAAATACTTAAAACTTTGATTACCTTGATTAAATAGTCATTCTTATATATCGGACCACGCCCTGAGAAGAATGCTACAGATGGAGCTGGCTTCACGTTTGATACAGTTATAGTTGGTAGAATAGTTGCCGTTGGGTTCCTAAGGACGTCAAAAACTAAAATTGTCAATAATGCTGCAAATAGTGTTGTTTCAATTTCCAAGGCAAAAGACATTATAACCATCAAATACATGGATACCTGGTGGAGTTCATATAAGCCTGAATTTGCTCTCGATCCTGCCAAGTGATTGGGATCCTTGGGATAGATCCAGAAACTGAGTCTATTAGTTGCCCATAGTTATCAACATATACCAAAGCTATTCCGCCTAGACGTTGTATGTCTTCGTATTGTCCGCTTGTTGTAGTATCTTCGAGGCTGTTTCGGCGAAGAACGATCTTCCCCTTCACTTTGTTTGCATCCAAGGCATCTATGTAACAATTACTGAGCACAAAGACACAATGTTCGAAAAGGTCCGTTTCAAAAATAATGAATCTCTGTCGATCAGCCTTTTTTAATACTCCTGTATTCCAGATTGTCCAGTTTCAGATTTTAATTCTAATACAATTTGAACTAAAAATAAAAATTTAAAGTGGACAATACTTTTAGGACGGAGGAAGTACTACCTTGCATCCACCTCATTAGCTCCTGGTTTCATAGCTGAACGACCATCAGTCAAAGGGTACACTGGACTTTTCTGGAAAGTTGATGTATGAACACCTCCTCCCTGATATTCATGATAAGCAAGTTCATGAAATCACCAGAATTTTTTTCAGCAATAAAATATACTCCCTCTAACCCATCTCAAAATTATTGTCCAGTATGGATTTTAACTTTTAGTTCAATTTGTACTAAAACTGAAAATCCAAACTGGACAATAACTTTGAGGCGGAAGAAGAACATAAAAGTTACAGTAAGCCATTAGTCACCTTGATGACTTTATTGTTTCCCAAGACAACATCAGACTCAAAGAACCTGTCAATGGTGGTGGCACCAACAGTCAAAATCCACGGAGCAACGTTCCCAATGCGTGGAGGGTCTTCCTCTGTACCGCCATTCCCGGCTGCGGCGACTACCAGAATCCCATTCTCAACAGCATGAAAAGTTCCAATAGAAACTGCATCTGTTGCGTAACTTTCGTATTCATAATTGTTAAAAGGATAAAGACAAAATGTCGACCCCGTCTGATATTGAATCATCAAACGCTTTCAGAAGGTCCGATCCCGAACACCCTTGACTATAAGTACAAGCTCGGTACACGGCAATCCTGGCGCCCAGAGCTCCGCCCTGGGCGGTGCCTTGAGCCAATCCGTGATAGGATGCTCCGGGGACAGGCCTTCCGGCAGCAATCGCCGCAACATGAGTGCCGTGGCCATCGTGGTCCCTCGGCGAGTTTTCATTCGCAATATAATTTCTTGCTCCAATCACTTTCCTGATGCAGGGGAAACAGGGGTCCGGGGATATTAATGTGTGTTTTCACATAATGCATCATCACAACTACGAATTTCTATGGGGATGGTTAGTTACCTGTTGCAGATAAAAGGCTTAAAGTCCTTCCCCGGAATGCATTTTCCCTTCCATTTCTTGCGGATAGGACCCAAACCTTCGTCACTGAAACTCTTTGCTTCTGGTTAAATCCCTGAATCAAATCGTATATATTAGTATTAGATTGAAATCAGACATAAGTTTCAAGCATGCGAAAAACTATGCTTCATGAAATTTTAATGTACTAATAATTATACTCAAATTACCACTATCAAACATGCCAATGATGACATCTTCACCAGAAACAGAGGAAGCATTTGATTTTTTGGGAATCTGGGGTTGTTTGGATCCAACAAGGCTTTGACTCCTCAAAAAGTCCCACGAACGTGTGGACTGGAGTCGGTGGACGCGATCAGGAAAAACTGATACAACCTCAGGCCTTTGGGCAATTAATTCCGCCTCTGCCTTTGATAGCCGGGCTGCGAATCCAGAAAATGCACTACTATATGTGTGTATGACTCTTTCTTTCCAACTGTAAAAAAAGAAAAGAAAAAGAAAAGATAGGGAAAAGAAACAGCACTAATGAGTACTCAATGGTTGGAAAAAGGAAATAAAACACAAATTTTAATAACAGCTGCACATTTGCTAAAAGGGTCTTGTTGAATTGAATCTGACCTTTCCATGGAAGAGCTGCTCATAATATGATCAGAGTGGAATGAGGATGCAGCTGCTCCGGTGTAGACGATGTAAACGCCATCATTTTGAGAATCATCTGCTAATACCAAATGGATTACTGAAACGAGGATGAGAGAAATAAAGCACAAGAAATGAACATCTAAGGTGCTCAATCTTAGAGCCATATTTAGTATTTTTGTGGTATGACTGTTCTAAGTTTTTTGACACTGCTTGTATACACTTCAAGAGTGCTTAATTTAATCAGTAATACTACTACATCAATGTGGTGTATTAAAATATGTTGTAACGTGGGTGTTAAATTATTGAATCAATAATATGATATATGCCCAGTGGAATCTGGAAGTGGATCTTTGTTAACATGATTTAGTGGATGTTAAAAGTGTTGAATAGCAATAGATTTTAAGAAATGGAGTATTAGTCATAATTTCAAGTGTATATAATAAACAAATAACGTCTCTTGGGTCACTCAACTCAAGCTTACAAGTCAGATCCTCCATGACTAATCATGCGGAGGCATTGTACTCCCTATGTCCTGAAATTATTGTCCAATTTGCATTTTCATTTTTAATTAAAAATATACTAAAAATGAAAATTCAAACTGTAAAATAATTTTGAAACACGTAATTATTTTTTGGATGAGTGAGTCTGTGTGGACTGGTCCTCTGAACTCCTTAAAAAGCAGCGAGAATCAAGAGATTTTGTTCAGACGAATGTGAAGGATATGGGGAAGAAGGAAAAGAAAAGGAGGTAAAAATCAACTGTACCCAAAATAATGGTTAATGATCAAAAAGGAAAGAGATGATGTAAAATTCTTGGTAATGATTAAACAGCTTTCTTTATGGGCCACTACTTCTATTATTCTTTGTGTCTTAAAATCATTGTTCACGTTAAGATTTTATTTTCTGACACAAATTATGCTAAACATAAAAACTTAAATTGGATATTATTTTGAGTTACAAATACTTAATATTATTAGCAATCTGACCTTTGGATGAAAGAGGAGCTGGAAAATATTGATGGGAGCCCAGTCAGACGACATCAAGAAGCACGAGGAAAGATGCATGTTTCATGTGCTACTGTATTCTCCTGTCCCCTGGAAACCTCATTATACTTTTTGTTTTGTGATATAATTTTATATTTTTGTGTATTTTAATAAGTTAGAAATTATAAAAGTCGATGACAAAGTCAACACTAATTTGGGTTGGGAACAATTTCGAATAAACTCTGATATAACTTCACATCAGAAATATTAATAGTTACTCTCTCTGTCCCAAAATTATTGTCCACTTTCATATTTCACTTTTATAAGATTAGTCAAAGATCTCATTAGTTAGGATTATTTAGATTCTATTTGTTTAGATTATTTCAGATTTTATAATATCTAAATCTTAACTAATGTTGATGTATGCCTATAAATAGAGGCAATGTAATGTATTGCTGTACACAATACAATTTATGATTTCATCTTCTTTCATAAAGTTATTTCTCTTCATGGTATCGAGAGCAAAATCGATCCTGCACTAAAATTTTTTTTTCTTCACATTATCCCACTACTGATTACCTCCAAAAATCACTATTGCACACACTATTTCACATACTTCACACTATATTTTATTTTATTTTATTTTTTCTTTTTCTTTTACTTTAATCACCACTGTTTTAAAATGACTATTTCACAATCACTCACTACTACTCAATCATTTCCTCTCTCCAACATCACAAATGTCATCACTGTATCTCTTGATAACTCCAACTATCTAATTTGGAGAGATCAAGTTGAAGGAATTTTAATTACCACTGATCTCAATGGTTATATCGATGGTTCAATTTTACCACCAAAATACTATTCACCTGATTCTACTATTCCAAAAAAATTTCTTCAATGACAAAAACTTGATCGCCTTGTCAAATGTTGTCTCACTGCCTCGTTGTCTTCTTCAATGGCATCGGTGGCATTGGGATGTCCTACTGCTCGTGACCTTTGGATCAAACTCGAGCATCATTTTCTTCAACAATCTACAGCGCGTAGATCGCAACTACACCAAAAAATTCATAATTTTAGGAAAGGTTCTCTCACAGTCAATGATTTTCTCACTTCATTATCAACTATGGCTGAAGAGGTTTCTGCTGTTGGGGATACTATCCCTGATCATGATTTTGTTATTCTCGCTCTTAATGGTCTCTCATCTGAATATACTTTCTTCATCACCACTATAGAGAATCTCAACCCTCCTCCCTCATTCATAGATCTTCAAGCAAAACTGCTTCTCCATGAGCAACGTTTGCAATCATTTTTGCCTTCACCAGAAGCTGCACTCCATACTACTGTGAACTTTCCAGTCACTAGTTCTCGGTCTTGTGGTAAACAGTCACAACCCAATTCAGGCCGTGGTCGTAGTCAACTCTCTCCCTACTTTCCTAATAACTCAACTCCGCACTCATTTTATCCCAACCCCAATTCATACGGTCCACACCGTCCCTTCAACACTATCCACAATCGCTCAAACCAAGTCCAATTCCCCACCCATCCTTCTACTCCCTATAAGCCTTATACATCATCCTTTAGCCCTTACCCCAACTTTACCTAACAACCCAATCCTACCCAATGCCAAATCTGCAAAAAATTCAACCATTCTGCTGCTGTTTGTCGTTTCCGCTACGCTGAATCTCGCAATAGTCGAACTCATCGCTCTTCTGCTCCCACAAACATGCCCACTGCTTTTTACACCTCCACTGTCCAAGAACTCCAGCCTCAAGACTTTTCATCCTTTACATCTAGTGACATCCCTGAATGGCTTCCTGATTCTGGCGCACAGGCTCATATGGCACCTGATCCTCTTTTAGTGGATTCTACCACTCCATATCATGGTAATCAGCAAGTGGTCGTTGGCAATAGTACTACTCTTCCTATTACTTCTATTGGTCACACCGCACTCACCAAGCACCCAAAACCTCTTTATTTACGTAATGTTTACATTGTTCCCCAGCTTACTACAAATCTTTTATCTGTTGAAAAATTTGTCACTGATAATTCATGTTTAATGGAATTTTCTCCTTTTGGTTATGTTGTGAAGGATCTAGTCATCAAGACTACGCTTCTCGCGGGTAACATCCACAATTACCTCTATCCTATAAAGATTCCTAAGACATTCCACAACCCTGTAGCTCTGGCTACTCGTGATGTTCCTCCTGATATTTGGCATCACTGTCTCGGACATCCGTGTCACTCAACTCTTTCATCTTTAGCTCGATCTTTGTCATTTAAATCTTCCAAAATAAATTCTTGTAATTCCTGTTTGCAATGCAAAAGTACTCGAATTCCTTTTACTCCATCTTCTCGTGTTTCTAAAGTGCCGTTACATTTGATTCATTGTGATTTTTGGGGTCTAAGTCCTTGTCTTTCTCTTTCAGGTTACCGGTACTTTATTATTTTTATTGATGACTTTAGTCGTTTTACATGGATTTATCCACTTACTAATAAATCTGAGGCTTTTCATGCTTTCCAAAATTTTAAGTCATTTACTGAAAATTTATTTTCTACTAGTATCAAATATTTTCAACGTGATGGTGCTCCCGAACTTGTGAAAGGTGTTTTTGCTAATTATCTTCGTAATCATGGTATTTCTTATCGCATCTCTTGTCCCCATACTCCTCAACAAAATGGAGTTTCTGAAAGAAAAATTCGTCATATCACTGAAATCGGGCTTACTCTTCTTCTTCATGCTTCTTTTCCTAAATCCTTTAGGGTTGAAGCTTTTTCCACTGCCACCTATCTTAATCAATCTCCTTCCTTCTCAAGTTCTTACTAATAAATCTCCTCATGAGGTTCTTTTTTCCAATCCTCCCTCCCTCTCTCACCTTCGAGTATTTGGTTGCACTTGCTTCCCATTTCTTGGGTCTACTCGTTCTGACAAATTATCCCCAAAATCAATTCCTTGTGTCTTTTTAGGCTACTCTTCCCAACACAAGGGATATCGTTGCTTTGATCCCAAAGTTCCAAACTTTACATCTCTCGACATGTAAGGTTTCTTGAAACTGATTTTCCTTATGCTACGTCTCAAACTTCTACGTCCTGTCCAACTCCATCATCACGGGTGTTGCTTCCTTTACCAATGTCTATTCCTCCTCCGTTTGTACCTTTTTCCAATCCTACGACACAAAATCTTTCTTCAACAAGGTTTTTTTCTCCACCACCATCTGATTCCCCGCCTAGACCACCTCCACCACCATCTAGTTCTCCGCGTAGACCACCTCCACCACCAAGACATCACATGAACACTCGTACCACAACTCGTAAGTCTAACCGTTTAAATGATTATGTTACCTATACTTTCTCTCTTACTTGTCCTCCTGAGCCTGACCCCATCTCTTTTACTCAGGCCAATAAATTTCCTCACTGGCGTCAAGCTATGCTTGAAGAGTTTAATGCTCTTCAACGTAATCAAACCTGGACTCTAGTTTCTCCTCCTCCTAATACTAATATTGTGGGTTTTAAGTGGGTTTTTGAACTAAAAGAAAATCCGATGGGACTCTTGACCGGTATAAAGCTCGTTTAGTAGCTAAAGGCTACCATCAGTCTCCTGGCATAGATTACACAGATACTTTCAGTCCGGTAATCAAACCCACTACCATTCGCATTGTCATCACCATTGCTCTTAATCGAAATTGGCCAATCCGTCAACTTGATGTGAACAATGCCTTTCTCCACGGTAATGTTCATGAGGACATATATATGAGTCAACCCTCAAGCTTTGTTGATCCAAAATATCCATATCATGTTTGTCGTCTTCACAAAGCTTTATATGGTCTCAAACAAGCTCCTAGAGCCTGGTTTCACCGTCTTAGTCAGAAACTTCATACTCTTGGTTTTATTTCCTCTAAATCTGACACTTCTTCTTTTATCTTGTCTAAGTTCTCACACACTACTTTTGTCCTAGTTTATGTGATGACATCTTGGTGTCTGGTTCCTCTTCTTCCTTCATTCAATCTCTCATTGATGAGCTTCATTCTACCTTCACCATCAAAGATCTTGGTTCTCTTCATTATTTTCTGGGTATTGAATCCCAATCTACATCCACCGGCCTTCTTCTTTCTCAATCAAAGTATATTCACGATCTCCTCACTCGCACTCACTTCGAGACATCCAAACCCGTCTCTACCCCAT